GGAATACACACTTGCCATTTTTCTAGATATTGAGGGCGTTTTTAACAACATGTGCCGTAGTGGTATAGTTAAATCCTTTTCAAACCTACAACTTAACGATACTCTATTGAAAGGGGGATGCTCTCTGCACTCTTGTGGAACATAGTGGTTATTACCTTACTGAACAGCTTATGCTGATGATATTGCCATCGCTTTATCAGGTTAATTGCAGTAAATCCAAGTTTTATCCAGCGTCATTAATACCGTGCTCGTCACTGTAATTGAATGGTGTAGGAAATTTGATCTTGATATTAACCCTGAAAAAACGGAGGTCATTCTCTTCACTAGGAAATACAAAAAAGCTACATGTGCTACCTACTGCTATAGAAGAGCTATAGATCGCAGCTGAGATCTTCAACCTTGTATAACACTCTAGCTCTATACAGCCGTTATTGGACCCATCCTTCTTTACGGAACTGCCTTCTGGTTTCAAGCAATTAAAAACACTTGTTACAAAATTAATTGACAACATAAGAAGGATAGCTGCAAATCATTGGAGCTCTACGCTCCATCACTACGAAGGCTCTGCTTTACTGGCTGCCATCTCGAATTCTCCTACAACAGCAAGCTAAAATAGTAGCACCCAGACCTTATGCTCTCTTCTGCTGGTCAAACGTTGATAGAGGGCACGCGATTACACTGAACCAGTATCTGCCAGCCCCCTTTTTAAATGACTACAAGTGTTCTTACGCAGACCTAAACCGGAGGTTTAAATCACTGGTAAGCACCTCAGCCACATCAGTTATTACTCAAAATTAACGTAGTTCCCTCACCTTAACGTACCTAGCTAGCTGCGTTAAGGTTCAACTTATTTGGGTTCCTGGTCATAGGGATATCTCGGGCAACTGTAGTGCAGATGAACATGCCAAGGCAGGGACTTTACTCCCTGATATTCACTTTTCAGATATTGGCGTCCCACTTGCAACAGCTAAACTGACAATTAAACAAACATATCTAAACATATCCAAGAACAATGGGCTGATGAATCCAGTTGTCAGATTTTTACGTTGGATTTGGACATGCTATGAAACTAGGTCTTCCTAATAATGACCTTCGTCGCGGTTGTGGCTCTAAGGACGAAATATGAACTGTGTTGCATCTTATACGTAAGTACACGCGATTTTGCGTGTACCTTACATGGATTCCGGATTCCTGCCTTGTATAAACAATCATTAACTTCTTGGTAGTCATACCTTTTAGCTGGAAGTTCAATCTAATGAATATTGTAGAAGCTGCAGAGGTGAGAAGGAAGAATAAACAGTAGATCAATTATTCTGCAGTTACTCAACTTTAGTTAGACGCAGGTCTACAAACACCCTACGCATTAGGGTCTCGTGTTAAACAGTGGTCCTATAAGGTGAAAGTTAATTTTTCATTTCCACCGACTACTACCAACGACTGCTTATTATCTGACCTAAGACATGTCGTTTTAACAAGACAGTACCATAAGCTATATAAGTCAACCTATTTTGGCTTTGTTGTTTGAACACTTATCCGCACGGTCAGTTCTACGTTTTGATAACCAGAATTGGTAACGAAGATTAAACGAACATTGGGCTCTTTTTGAGTGATTGCACAATAAAGCACTCATATTTATGTGTAAATTATATTTATCTGGATAAATGCGTCCCACATTGTTTAAAAAAACGTGAAATGGAAAGTCGTAGTCATTTCTGAAATAACAAAGAAATAACGCCATGAAGAAAAAATCATGCTTTGTGTCGAATTTGTATCGAAGCGGAAAAAATTGTTATTTTCGCCAGTCCTCAATACCAACGCTGAATCGCTTCGGAGAGAAGACCACGCTTTGTGTCTGGTGGTACCAGAGGGCTATTGTATACTACGAATTCTTAAAGCCAGGGCCAGAACACATTTCAAAGTGATTTTGTTTCACAATAAGGGGCCGTCTCACACAGTAAGGCCACTGAAGGAGACCTTGAAATCATTTGGATGGGACATCCTTTTGCTTCCGCAGGTTCCCCAAACCTGATGTTATCTGACTATCACCTTTTGGCATCAATGCGGTACGCGGTCGCAGAAGACAATCAGTTTTTCTGACATTGCATTTATACATTACTAAAAAGATGGGCGAAATGTTTGGAAGCCAATGGCCAATATTCTGAATAAATGAAATTTATATCCATTGAAAACTATGTGTTTCCTTTACAAAAAGAACCGGAAAAAACTTATGCATGCTTCTAGTACAACCGCCTTAATTTGAACTCTAATACGCTGCAATATTAAAAATAATGCTATACTCGTATTATAAAAACATATGTATGTATACTCGTATGTATGTATGTATGTAAACTGTGCTTCTGGATTAGTCCTAAAAATAACTCGTATTTCATTTTGTATAATACTGCATCATTACCTTGAGTGTTATATAAAATAATAACAAACATAAGCAGAAAATTATCTTTCCTATAATTTGTGCAATGTTATTTTATATAGTAAATATCTGTAATTTTTTCATATTTAATACAAAAAAATCAAACAAGATAGTTTAGTGCCAATAGCTAAGTTCAAAATGGGAGCAATGTAGCAATTAAAGAAAAAATGGGTTTCTTTTTTAGTTTGAACTTTATGTTTAAAAAAAAATATTTGAAAATTTATAAAATTGTATATTAATTGCTAACAAAATATTTACGCTTTCTTCATAGTTTTTATTTATGTGGTATACAATAACAACAAAGATTATCGAAACGAGTGGAAAGATAAAAATGTAAACAAACAAACATTGACATTTTTTTCCAGCTGTTCTCGTCCGTATAAAAAATTAATATTTGTTTCTCTACATGGGTATGCGCTATATGAGTACGCTTAATGTTAAACACACCTATTGTAACACTTTGTATGAAATTTCACAAACCCACCTATAATCAATGCCTAGAATAAAATTATAACAATATTTATTTACTTGTCTTATATGAAATTCAAAACAAAACCTAAAACCTGATATAGTGTTTCTACCAAAAAAAAATTGGCTATTATTACTGCTCTTTTTTTACAGTAAAAAAAAAACAAATATTAATGCAGCGACCCTGATCAAACACATCAGCATATTTTGAAAATTTCGCTATTCGTTACAATAGTTGGAATCGTACGGTATGTGAAAGAAGCAATACTCCGACTTTCTTTATTACCAGTTCAGAGAAATTGACAAAAATGCTACATGAAACCGATTTATCTATAATAAAAAATCTATTCGCAGTAATCTGCAGTCAACAATAATTTATTATTAGAGGGCGAAACTCAGAAACTCAGTAGAAACTCAATTTTCAATAATTGTGTCTTTCTGTGTAATAGCGCAAAAAAATCTTTTATTTATTTATCACAACAAAATTGTCTAACATTAAAACCGGTGTGGCTGATAACCAAAATGTTTATTTCCACATAATTTTCGTATCGAATTTTTAATGTCAAAACATCAAAACAAACAACGAAATTACCCAGAAAATGGTCTTATATTACTAAACACCGTGGTGAGTAACGAAAGAGTGGGTAAATAACAAAAGTAACAAAAACGGGTAGGGAAAATTATTAAGTGTCATTATGTGGCGTTAGGTTTGTTGATTTCGTACTGCATGATATTTTCACCTTATTACACACAATTTTGAATACTATTCGGATAATCCAGAAAATTATTATTTTTCGAGTGATACTGGAATCACACGAAAGTTTTGTTTGTAATTTAATTGTTTTGTTTATCAATTATAGTTGCTTTCAATGCAAAATGAAAATTTTTGACAGCTGAAATTATAAACAAAATTCTTGTGTGAGTCCAAGAATTTTGTTTGTATAACTCTTAGTTTCTTTTCTTTATCTTCTTTAGTTACAGCCATTGTTGAATCTTTTTATTTTATATGTTTTGTTTTGAAATCTAACTTAAAAACATATACAGTCTTTTAGCTTTTGCATAAAAGAAATGTTAATGTCAGTTATATTCGAAATAGATATAATACCATGTTTCCAGGGGTCTAATTTAGGCAGTTTTGCTTTTTAAGACAGCTATTGGGGATAATTTACCATACAAAGCCCGTGTTCGACTTCGAGTAAATTGTTGAGAATTTCATGGAAATAGTAAATTATGTCGACATGGCATCGAATTTTGGTATTTACCAGAATTTCGAGTAGGGTAATTTAGATAAAAATTAGGTATTACCATTGTGAAAATTTTATAAGATGGTTATACACTTTTAATCAAAAATAATAAATAAGTGCACTAAATAAAGATTACATAGGACGTGTGCGAGTTAGGCTAAGTTGCGTTCTAAATGAGGGAAATTCTAAGATGAGCCGATAATGTAGTGATGGGTCGATACGTGTTGATAAATGGCTAAATGTGTGCAGTGCAAAAAATCCCAAAAAATCTCCCATTTGGTTTAGCATCAACTTAGCCTAACTCGCACACGACCATAAGTGCAGTGTAAAAAATCCCAAGGAAATTTTAATTTATTTTGCCTTAATTTACTTGAACCCCTCATTTTATATAATTGAACTCATTTAAGGGGAAAAATGTCGAAATCAACCCATAAAAATAAATTTCTAACAAGTGAAATTACTGAAATTGATATATTTTTCAAATGTTTTGTATGTAAAATGTAAACACACAACATCTGAACTGTAAACAAATGCACTGAGAAAGTAAATTTACAATAAAATCTTTGTTTTTATTGATTGAATATGTAATTGATATATAAAATGTATATAAATGATTTAATATATCAATTTCATTTTTAATTTTTTTGAGTAATCTGTTTGTGAAGTTTATAAAAGTTTAATCAGCTGCATAAATAAGCTCATTACAAAGTGAACGTTTACTCATTAATATATATGAGCAAGTATCTAAATAAGACAGTGTGAATATCCTATAAAAATCTCCAAAAATTTGATTTCTTTTTTGATTTCCCTCATAGATAAGTACAAATTTATACAAATTTTATTCAGTTTTTGAATGCGTCACCAAACCGATTTTGCTATTTTGCCTTCTATAGTAAATAATCGCATTTACTTGTACAACTACGTTACCTGAATAACCATTTCTTACACATCACTAATCTGTAATGACAGATAATTCTGCATAAAAAAGAAACAAAAAACATTTTTTTAATTGCCAAAGTTTGACATGTTGTAGTTGCATTTTTGTTATCTACTCTAATTAACAATGTATTGTTAAATAATTGCTATTGAGAGTCAAAGTAAAAATATTGCAATGAATGTTCGACCGCGATGTCGTGAATGGATTCCACTTTCGACACAACAACTTCGCCTAAGGAATCTAGTCCAGATTCAAGGTCAAAATATTCAATGTAACATAGCTGGCGAAGTTTTTATATATTATACCCTTCATAGTAATAAGAAAAGTTCCGCATTTTATATAAGTGAGTCTTTACCTCGTCAGCATTCGGAACATAAATGGATGGATATCAATTGCAGCGAGATTTTAAAGTCAAACCTTAATTGTGTTTGTGTTAAAGTCTGGGCTCACATCAAAGATGGGAAGCAAAGTCAAAACTTTCAAAATGAACCTGAATCAAAACGCAATGAATTAATAAGGTAAGACTCATAATTATTTTTAATTTGAGATTTGGTTAACGTCAAAGTATATTTTGCTTTTAGTGCCTTGTCAAAAGAACTGTCTAAATGCCTTTCTACAAATAATTTAAAGTGCTCGCCGGATGAGATTTTATTTACTTGGGGTGTTTATTTCTCTGGTCTTATCCCTCTTATTAACCAATCTGATTTTAAATGTGTTGCTAACTCTTTAATTTTCTTAATGAACGGAGTTTACTTCGTTTCTCCAGCAAATTTTGCAGAAAATGGTTTCCGAGAACAGCTTTCTCACACAATACCAACTGTTTCTAATCTTCAAATTGATTCTATAAATTCAGAAGAAGTTAAATGCTGCTTAGATACCTCGGAATGTGAAACACAAAAATCGCAAACAAATAGACGGAATACAAAATTGCTTTGTCCAACTTTAGACGTGCGTAAAAGTTATTCTTTAGATAAACTCCTTAAAATTCAAAATGTTCAACGAGAGCATATGCTTGCAACGAAAAGAGCAACAGATGTTGTCGACAACATAAAGCAAATAAGTGTAAGATGCATTACAAATGAGCAACTATTACACAAGACACAAACTACCTCAAGCACATTACGTAGCGCAACACAAGTGCATCATTCCATAGGCCGTACTTTAAGTGTATTGTTGGATGAACATAAACAAATTGATCATCAAACATTGATACGAGCTCAAGTATTACAACAGAAAATTGAGATATTACATAGCAGAAATACCCTCTTAATAGCTGAACGAGCAATTTTGTCCGAACGAATTTGTCAAAGACAAGAACGTTTATGTTCTATATTGGATTCACGACAAAAACAATGTAAGAGACTTCATTCTTATAATAAAAAACTATGTAAAGATATGGAGTTCCTGGATAAGTACAATGCGCAGAATAAAGCACAACAAATACTGAAGGAACGGATAATGCACAATTTACAGCGTCGTATGTCTTTACTTTGTACAGAACTGCGTCAAATATATCCAATTTCTTATAATTTTGGTTTTTATACAATTTGTGGCATACGATTTCCTAACATGAATAACTATCTCACTGATGATAATTCTACAAATAATGTCTGTTTAGATGTTTCACCAATGGCCTTAAGCGTCTGTTTAGGTTATATTGCGCATTTAGTACAAATGATTTCAGTTATTATAAATCGTCCACTTAGGTGAGTTTTAATTCATATTTTTATTATTTTTTGTGTATATAAAACCAACAATTTTTTTTTTTTTTTGCAGAAATCCTATTATATATAAATGTTCTAGGAGTAGCATAATAGATGTCAAAACTTTACCTTATGTATCACGAGAGTAAGTCATATACATACATATATTTTTGGTTGTGCAAAATGTGTTCTTTGTTTTTATTGTTCGCTTGGCATTAAAATAAAACCGTTTTTAACAATTAATTGTATTCAATAATTAGTCGATTAGTTTATAATTGTGGAATTATTTATGGACATTGGTACTTCGTGTTGAATGTTATTGCAATATATATTATTATATATGGTATACGGACCCGTATTTATCAATATATAAATGTTAATATTAATGTAGATATGAGGATATCTTAATATAATTCACCAAACAACTCAAATCAAATACAAGTAGTAGCTCTACCTTAGGAAGCTGTAAAGCTTAGCCTCACTAAAATTATCTAAATTATTATATAAATTAATTTTTACAATTTTTAATACTCGTACCATATAAGTTTTTAAATTTTATACATATATTTGAAATGTTATGCTGAAATACAGTCAATAAAAACTAAAAAATCATAAAAGGAAAAAGATTCACTTTGGTCATATAAAGATTTTTAATTTCCATTTCTTTGACGATGAATCCCACGTTATTGTAATACTCACTTTAACCCCATAGCAGACTTAGCTCGCTACTGTTAGATATTAATATGTTTTTACTCTCAAATAAGTTCAAAAATTATGCCCACATAAATTTAATTTTTTTTGAAAAATTTTCGAATTTTCATAAATCATTATACTTCTAAAATGTTTTGTGAACTATTTTTTATTTATCTTTCATGTAGTAATATCTGATTATCTTGTGAACATATTTTCTAGGATAATTCTTCATCTGTCGTGTACGATTTTTCTGCAATTGACGTGTGGGAAGTGAATTAATCTTCAAATCTAAAGTGACTAGTTTAAAGATTTGCAATGTCAGAAGTTAGTCTTTCTACAATCAATCTGCAGTTATTCTTGTCATGCAGCAATGTTCTCAGTTCGCTGGAAAATTTGTTTATTTCTTCCAGCAATTCCCGAACATACTAGACATTAAATTAAAGTATATAATACACTAAGAATTAATATATGACTTAAGCTATTTGAAGGAATTATTTTCAAATTTTCGGAGTTTTGTGACTTTTTCCGTACGATTTTTTTGTTTCTTGAACTAAAAAACTACTTCTCATGTTGGTCTATATTGTCATTTTTCTACAATCACAGACTGAATGCAGAACAAATGCTTTTATTTCTGTGCTGCTTATGGTGAAGCTACTCTAATGCAAGTAACTGTTACTAAATTATTACCTCGATTTTGTCAGTTTGCTATTGAAAAAGTTTTTAAAATTATAGGCAAGGTTTAAGAAAATCGGCATGTGAGTAGTCACGGCATCGCTAAACAACTGAAGATCCAAGAATTAACGAGGAAGATGGTAATAATAATTGTTTAGTCGGATAGCAATAATATTATATATTATTAGCTAGTACCACTAAACCAAATAATTAGTTTCTATTTTCTATTAATTTGTGGTATTTCATTACTTTGTTGTTGTTGTAAGCCTTTGGGGTCTGTTTGTAAAATCTCTTTATGAGGTGGTGAACGGCACTTGGGCATCGTGTTTGACAAGTCGCTCTGGGACGTAGACTCGACCGATTTTGGAACCATTGTACTACGTAAAGATTTCAAACGAAGACTAAAAAATATTTGTGTCAGTTTTTCAAAGATAAAACTCGGAATTAGGTAATATAGGAGATATGACTCTGCGAAAACCAGTAGAAGTTGATTAAAAACAAAGAACAATATTTTAATTATTAAAATAATTATTAAAAAAGAATATTTTGAAGTATGTCTAAAAAAGGCGAATAATTTTTACACGATCCAATAATATATAATATATATAATAATTATTTAATAGTTAATTACATATTTATATATAAAATTTGGTTACAGGTTCCCGCTATATAGTCGTTCCTCGATGCCCTCGAAAGCACTAAAATATGCAATTTATTTATTAAATCAAAACATTTCTCAACTCTATTTCGATATATCTGGTATGGGATGTGAAAAAGATACTATACAAAATATTTTGCGAATATTTGAAACGGTAGAAAATATTGAAAGAAATCGTCCTGAGAATGAACATCATGTTTCCAATGAATTAGCTCGAAAAAGCAAAGCAGTTAATATTCCTAGCAGTGGTGATAGCGATTGTGGAATTGATAAAGACTTCCAAGATAGGATTACAATCTGTTTGTCTAAGTCAGATTCATCTAATGATACGAGTCGTATGCTTAGTTCAAGTTTGGAACAAACTTCAACACAACAGCGGTAGGAATAATTTTTTTGTTAAGCTATATCCTCTTATTCTTTAAAATAATATTAATTTTAATTAGACTGGTCGTTATCTTGATTTATTTAATTTTAATAACGCAAAATTATTATAACACGAATTTTTATTTGGACATAAAATAAAAGAAAAAGAAATGTGAGCAGATAACATTAACCGAACATTAAAATAAGTCAAAGTTCATATAATTAATGAAAGTAACTGTAAGAATTCATTGCATTGTTTTTTAAAATAAAATATCTATTCTATAACACATAATATATGCTCCAAAAAAAAAACAATATTCGAATCCAATGAAAAACAAAAAAGAAAAGAAAGGCTTTAACTCAAAACCCTATTTCAACGATGTGATACATGTAAATAACGATCAGTCTAATGTATATTGATTATAGTTATTATATTTAACATAATTAAATAACTTGTGTAAGATATTTTTTTTATTTATTTTAATTGGATTTTGAAAATCTTTATTAACCGTACGAAAAGCTACTGCGACCTTCCTGTAGTCATACCTAGTAATATTCCTTATTTAGTGTTATTAATATATAAAAATTACTTTATAAAAATCTGTATATATTTATTTGCACTGCATAACTATTATCGCTGAAGTAAAAAACTGAAAGAAGTAAGCTTTAAACGTATAAATCTAGTATCCTGTCTTCAGGGTAACTTAATGTATAACTTTTGATGTACATTGTACTTATGTTTAACTTATTTTTTTACTATATACCATGGCTATATACCATTCTAACATTAGATTACATTAAAAATAAATTATGTGATATTTATTTCTTTTTTACAAAACTTTTAATAATTTCATTCAATATGAAGAGTAATGGGTGTTATTTTAGTATAACACTTTAAAATTGTTATAAAATACATATGCAATAAATTTTACGATAATATTTTATTAATATCTAATGGAATAACAGTCTATTGATTTCAAAATTTAGCTTAGTAATAATTTGGAAAAGAAAATGTCAAAAATAAGAGTGCAGCTAGTGAGACTACAATTCCCAGTATGCCTTAAATGACCACACACCACGTTTACAAGTTGTCTATTGTGGAAAAATACAATCGTTCGATCTCAAGAAAATATGAAAATAAATTTCAAAAAAAATTCTAGAAAGAGTTGTACTATGCACGTAAAAAATAGCGTCACGTCAGTGGGGGCAATTCGAATCCAATTTTAAAAGGACAGTCCTACTTTTGAATATTTTGATATACCGAGTCTTATAATTGATGTCATTACTTTTTTGAAAATCATATGAGTAGAAGTAAAAAAAAAAAAGAAAGTCATAATAAAGCAAAGAGATAATTAATTAATTTATTAATTTAGAATTATTCCATCTTAAGAATATTAAAATGCTTTAAATTGTAACTCCAAGACAATACGAATTCAACTGCGTCTGCAGAATTTAACTAAAAGGCTACTAGTCTTTTTTGAGATAACCAAAATGGGTTACAAAGACTACATTCTTAAAGTATCTCTCACTTTAATCCATTGAATTTCCATAAGTTTTAAAAGTTCGTTTGAAAGTTCTATTCAATTAGTAACATTAAGACATACGACATACAATCTATATATGACTAGTTGATGTTTAACGAGTTTTAAAGCAAATATAGGTAAGGATAATAAGAAACAGATTTGTGCTTGAAGGGGTTACATATAATTTTTGAATGAATATATTTTTCTGGTGAATGTGAATCATATGTCCAATTTTAATTGAGTTGAATTTTTCGGAAAACAAAAATTGCCTTGACGACAAAAGAGTTGTCCCATCAGAATGGTACAATTTAGCAAATGGTCGTAAAAGTTCACTGAAAAAAGACTAAATATTGTTAATTTAAAAGAAGAGAACCGTGTATAGTTATTTGTAATAGGATGACCTCGAATAAATATCGACACCTTCTGAGATATCCAAACAATGAATATGAATTGTTCGCATAACTAGAAAAGTTTGAAATGCGCAGTCATACACAGGATTTTGACATATTCTTCAGAACCTTTATAAAATGAAACTCTTTTGAGCTGTGAAAGATTTACATTTGGCATCTGTGCTATTACAACGGGTCATTATTTGAGCTCAAGTGGACTTTCGGTAGAAGACCGCCAATCCCACCTAACCTAACTTACATTTTGGCAATGATATTTCATTGCAGTAGAATTAAAATATCGGTATTATAAAATTGTGTTATGTTTATAGTGTCGACAATTAAAAACCTAGAAACAGACAGATTTCTGTAAAAATGTTCGTGAAAATCTTCAATATAGATCTAAATATTTCGGTCGCAAAATCTACAAGCTAATACGACTCGGAAACTGTCTCTCAGTGATTTCTTCTGAAAGCAAATTCACAAGTATCAAGAAAAACATTCATTTAAATATAAAGACTTGACTTAGGATTTAAATGAAAACTACGATTATACCGAAATCGATACAATTTAATGATTAATCAATTTTATTAAGTCTGGATTCCATTTTTCGTTAAAACTCCTTGAACATATTTTAAAGAAATAAATTTTTGACAAGTCTGGATGAAAGTTAAGGCATAAGTTTTTAAGATTTTTTTTAACATGAAAAATAAATATGGTTCCAAACAATTAATCTGTTTGTAAGTTCACTAGATGACGAAGTGACCACTGACGCCTTAGAACGTGAGAAGTTTTATTGACCATAAATACCAATTAACACTAGTAACTTTTTGAAATGCCTACATAGTATAATCATTTCTTTATAGGAAATCTGGCCACTGTTTGATATGTTTTATTTGATATCTACTAGTTTAACAGTTTACTTTATATCGTTGAATTCATTATATATTATTACTTATTTTTATAAGGACTGTATCTTTTTGAGGATCCAATTTATAAAATGCATGTGATATATATATCGATATTGTCGTTTCTTGTTGTTTTTAAACAGAATTAGCTAATAATGGTTTTTAATAAAACTTTAATTTTTAATTGCTTACAGAAAAAGTCGATCTGTTGGTTCATATTCGGATAGTGAGGATTCTCGTAACTCTATGGAAATCGCCAGCAACTGCCATTATTTATCCGATTCAAACATTTCATTTAAAGGCGAATGCTAAGGAGTTTTTATATGTAAATTAATTTAAAAAAAAAATTATTAATTTAAAATTAGGGAACTTCGGTTGATTTTATGTGTTATTGATTACAAATTTAGTTTTAATATAAACAATTATTATTTAATTTATTCATTTAATCCACTTTTGTTAGTTATATTTATTAATAAAGCTTATGTGAACATAGTAAAATAATTAGATTTTTTATTAGTTTTAATATTAATTATCATATATATAAAGTAATTTTATAAAAAAATTAACTAAAAACTAATAATAGTCATTTTATTTTATTATGTTCACATAAGAATTATTAACAAATGTAATCAATATTGTATATAATTTGTTAAAGCTAAAATGCTACAAACATTTCATATTTATAGTATAAAATTTTTCAATTATTGAATATAACGAATTATAAAACGTCATAAACTCTATTCAAAGTTATTATTGTTTTATTATATACGGATTTGTGGTTTATATATGGATTTATAAACATAATTCTTTCTTAATTCCAGATACAACTGTTAACTATCACAGCGTAAACAAATCTGAACGACTATCCCATTTGTTTATGACAATAAATGCCATTTATGACAATAAATGCCATTTATGACAATAAATGCCATTTATGACAATAAATGCCATTTATGACAATAAATGCCATTTATGACAATAAATGCCATTTATGACAATAAATGCCATTTATGACAATAAATGCCATTTATGACAATAAATGCCATTTATGACAATAAATGCCATTTATGACAATAAATGCCATTTATGACAATAAATGCCATTTATGAAAATAAATGCCATTTATGACAATAAATGCCATTTATGACAATAAATGCCATTTATGACAATAAATGCCATTTATGACAATAAATGCCATTTATGACAATAAATGCCATTTATGACAATTTTGATTTAAATTAAAATCATGTGATAGGATTTTCAAAATTAACAACGATACATTACAATACAATTCACAAATACTAGCAATATAGGAGCAGAATTCTAGTATTTTTTAGAATTAACAGAATTCTAAAATACTAGGTATCCAACAGAATTCTAATAGATATGAAAAATGTGACCCCAACTTAAGGAGTTGAGAAACAAAAATCCAGAGATTTAAGTTGAACGATAAACAATAAACAATAACGTCGAAAAACTATATGATAATTAAAAATATATTCAAAATTTTACTCTGAGACCCGTTTCTATTAACGTAAGTATGACAGGATATTATTTTGAGACTTTAATGTACATTATTTGGCTATTTAAACAAGAGCGTAGCTTAAGAGATGGAGAGTGCATAATGAGGGGTCAGTTTGATAAATTAGTGATCTTTTGAACTTCCGGTGTTGTAAGTTTAAATGTAACATTGCTTCTGTTAACTATTATCTGTTAATAGACTAGTTTAAGACTTTGAAGAAGCTGTGTCAAGGTATTATATATGTTATACTCTATAAATAAAGAAGTATGTCCTACATAGTTGAGGCTAATTTGTTGATGAATTAACTGAGAGATAGGATTAAACAAATAAGCTCATATTCCCACACAATACATCCCACCTCACTAAGTTGTCTTGTAATCTTATAATCTACATTAGCGCACACCTAACCGCTTCGGTAAGTCAATATGTTCGATTAATATGCAGGCAGTTCAGATTCAAATAGAACAGAATAATTACTCTCATATATTTCCCACTGTATATATCTCTATTTCTTATATTATAAACGAGAACACACGCACATTATTATGTTCATTCTACTGCGCACACCTAACAACAGAAATTTGGAATTGCTTAAAGGGGAAAGACGAAATATTGTAGAAATGTGCGATTTGAGCTGCAAACTTATGAGCACACCCAATAACTAAAGCAGCTAAGAGTAGAAAATTGATTAAGTTTCATAGGTAATTATATTTAATTGTTTTTACTAAACTTTAATCTTTAAAAAAATATATATAGAAAAAGCGTTTCCATAATTTTCAAAGTAAATATTAGTGTATAAAAAGACGATAAGGAGCAGAAAAATGTTGGAAGTGTAGAATCGAAAACTCAAAATGTGGATGAAAAAAAAGTATTACTATTCAACCCGTTCTGATACCATTTGAACCAACTTAAGTCATCTCCTGAACCACCTTACGAATAAATGTAAACACAGTTAAATACTGATGTCAGTTTCTCAGCTGCAATGAAACCATATTAAATAAGATCAACTTAACAAATAAATAATAAAAACAATAAAAATGTATCTTACTTGTTTTCATAATTGTCAAATTAAAATTGAACAATTTTTTGTGTACGCCACTGCCTTTCTACTTTTTCTGTAATATCAGAATATAGTTAATGGCATTAAAGAAATCTAATTAAATTTAATTACTATTATATTAAAATTTGAAATTAGAGTCAGAATTAAAAATTCTTATAGTAAAACTTTAAAACTAATTAAGAATGTTAGATATTTATTTACTTAGAATATCGCCAAATATTCGACATCAGTGGTCTTTGGATTTTAGATTATATTTCAACATTTTTGGACTAGTTGTTCTTTCGAATATGCTAGTTCAACGAGGATAACAAAACAACAAAAAAAAGCATATATAGAAAGTTTATATTATATGAAAAAAAATTCAATCAATAAACTCTTCTATAAATCACTGAGATGTTCAAAATATAATATAATGAATTTAAAACTATGAAGACCATTTGATTTATCAAATTTTCATATTTTCCTAAGAAGAGGTTTTAGAATATATTTATGTCAAAAATAAATCATTCTCCACCACCAAATCTACTTTAATGGGTTAGACATTAAGGATATTATCGATGAGTTTCTAAAGAGAAACATATAATTTTTATTAAAACCAGTTTAAATGGAAATGGGCAGTATTCGAAATATTCTGAGAGAAGAAGATGCTTATAACTGAAGAGGAGTAATAAGAAGTATAAGAACCAGTGAAGTAGTGACATGGGAAAAGTTTAAAAATTTGGCAGCAAAAAATATTCATATTATATGTTCCATCCAAAATATTAAACTATATTATCATTGTTTTTTTGTTACGTCATTACAGTTAGTGATAATTATTATCTATAGTTAATAAACATTAATTTTAAACAAATCAAATTATGACTGAGAAATTCCAGGAGAAAATGATGTGTGTCTAATTAGAAAATTTGAATTTAAATTTATTAAAAACAGTATAGAATTGTGTTCACTTTTATTTTAGAAATTCTTTATTTATACTTATTTCTAATACATTGTTCTTTTATGTATGTATAAAGCACGAAAGTGCTAGAGGATGATTGAACTTGGAATATAATAGTTTCGCTCATTGTTTTTGTATTCATTCCATTCCACTGGAAGCCAAAAATGCTAAAAACAGAATGCTTTTCAAATTAAATGTTTTTCAAATTAAAATTAATAAATAAAACTAACTAAACTAAAAACTAAATAAACTAACTTCTAAACTACGATTTTAAAAATGAATACTATTCATTTTTTTATTGTATCAAGTTCAATCATTCTCTAGCACTTTAGTGCTTTATACATGCACTTAGAACAATGTATAAGAAATAAGTATAAATGTAGATTTATTAATAAAATAAAAGTGAACATAATTCTATACTGTTTTTAATATAAGATATGATGCATAAAGCGATTTTTTGTTGGAATTTCTCAGTCATGATTTCATTTGTTTAAAATTAATGTTTATTAACTATAGATAATAATTATCATTAACTGTAATGACGTAACAAAAAAACAATGATAATATAGTTTAATGTTTTGGATATCTTTCGCTGTCAAATTTTTAAACTTTTCCCATGTCACTACTTCACTGGTTCTTATACTTCCTATTACTCCTCTTCTCTTTAGAAACTCATCGATAATATCCTTAATGTCTAACCCATTAAAGTAGATTTGGTGGTGGAGAATGATTTATTTTTTAAAATAAATATATTCTAAAATCTCTTCTTAGGAAAATATGAAAATTTGATAAAATAAATAGTCTTCATAGTTTTAAATTCATTATATTATATTTTAAATATCTCAGTGATTTATAGAAGAGTTTATTGATTGAATTTTTTTTCATATAATATAAACTTTCTATATATGCTTTTTTTTGTTGTTTTGTTATTAGCACATTCGAAAGCACAGCCAGTCCAAAAATGATGAAATCTAAGCATATCCCCAAAGACCACTGATGACGAATATTTGGCGATATTCTAAGTAAATAAATATCTAACATTCTTAATTAGTTTTAAAGTTTTACTATAAGAATTTTTAATTCTGACTCTAATTTCAAATTTTAATATAATAGTAATTAAATTTAATTAGATTTTTTTAACGCCATTAACTATATTTTGATATTACATAAAAAGTAGAAAGGCAGTGGCGTACACAAAAAATTGTTCAATTTTAATTTGACAATTATGAAAACAAGTAAGATACATTTTTATTGTTTTTATTATTTATTTGTTAAGTTGATCTTATTTAATATAGTTTCATTGCAGCTGAGAAACTGACATCAGTATTTAACTGTGTTTACATTTACTCGTAAGGTGGTTCATGAGATGACTTTAGTTGGTTCTATTTCTAAACGACTGGTATAAAATGGACCGGTAATGGAAAAATTAAAATAAAATTTTAACCATTGTTTTGTTACTTTTATTATTATTTTTAAGTAAATGTTAAATCAAATTGTTATTAAAAATATATACATACCTATATGTTATAAATTACAATAACTCTCGATGTAAAGATATTTAATGAAGTTATATATATTATTTGACATTTTGTAAATTATGTTAAAGTGGGCGTCGCATACCTCCGCACTTTAGAGCAGTCGTCACTGATATATATGTACATATATATAATGATAAAGTTACAGTTATTTCACTAGAATTCTTAAAATCGGAAATCTGATAAACAAAATATAGCAAAGAGTAACTTTGAAGACACAAATGTGTTTAGTATTAAAAATGTAACCTACCTTCTTTACTTAAATTAACATAATACATCTTACAGTTAAATTCTCTCTTCATTTTTATCCAATCATTATTTATTTACAAATTATATTAAAAAATTATGATATTCACT